TACTACAATATTGGAGGAAAGCTTGAGGACCTAGTCTTATAGCATGCTATGAATGGAAATTCACAGGTTGCATCACTGAACTGTGGGACAAAAGATGTTTCTGGGAGTTCTGGGGAGGTGTCTGGAGTGGCCCCTGCTGGGCAGGTCCATCTGCACTGTAGAGTCTGCATAGTGGTGGAATATTCAACCCTGGAGTACTTAGTGTAAAGACCACCTACGTGGAGCTGGTATGCACAGTGAGGTACAGAGAGACTATAGTTAGTGGTGTGGGGGGAGAGGGAAGGGATTAGGAAGAAAAGCTGGAGGGAAGTTGAGGGAAGAATGAGCAACTGAGTCAGTGGTGAGCTGGTACTCTCCAATGGAGAATGAGGGCTTTCCTTATGAAGCACCTCATTAAGGCCATTTGCAGAGCCAGTGATGAATAGCTCTAGAAAAGGTCACCAACAGCCACCTTCCCTGTGTCTTCCTCTGACTGCATGCAATTCTGGGGTCCTTCTCTGTTCTGAGGTTTGAGCCTTGGTTTCCTCTGGGTCATGCTGGGAACTCTCCCTACCTCTTGCTGGTTACTTAACTTCATGTAACTAAGAGACCCTGGCCTCTACTTTTCCCCTTGGAGCACAAAGAAGGAATAGGAGCTTCTGTGGTATTGATAGTATTGATGGTAGGATGTCTCCATGGATATTTTCCCAACAACCTTATATCCCCTTGTCAGCCTGCTCTAGTGGCCCAAGAGAGATTTTCATGGGTGAGGACCCAAAGTTAAAGAACACACATGTGTTAGACATCAAAAACAACAGCAGGCAGCTGAGCAGAGTACCAGAGTGCCAGACCACAAGAGTACGAGGGACAAGAGCAGTCTGCGCCTTTATTGTATAATTCTTACACAGGTTGTTACCACATATTTACATTCTTGTACAGTGCTGTAACCAGCACATGTGTATTTGTCCACTATTATGCCACGGTTACATAACTGTATCCTGCTGTGTGCTTGTGCTAGATGGTGAGGTCACATCCTCCGGTGTCCATAGACACCTCTGAGCTTTAAAGCAATTTGAGTGTTTCCCCACACCCTTTCCCAGGATCAGAGTCCCAAAAAATTCAGTCTCCTTCTCGGCTTGGCAATACCTGTAAGAGATCGTGGTAGATTTAATTCACTTCCTGTCAGCCCTGAGTAATGAGTGCTGTCAGCTGGTGGCCATAAAGGGGCACTACCAAAAAAAAAAAAAAAGAGAGAAAGCAGCTGCTTTTGAAGTCTTTTCCCCCATGAAAGAAGAAATTAATTTCTGTGTACTCTTAAAATATGAAATTATTTTAAATGTTGGTATCTCTTTCTCTCTCTGGTACATTTAATAACTCTGCTAATTGAAAGTTAAATCTGAATATTTTACTCCTCACTCAAACTGGATAATAAAACATACAAGAAAGCAGGATGCCTTCTTTCTGTCCTGGACCAACTAACCTACTCCCAACATTTTAGTAATCCATTTTCCTTACTCCTGTTTAGCATCAGACATTTTGCTTGTTCTGACGCCCCTTCCACACTGGGGTGGTTTTTCTTTCCCATTTGTCCTTCACTGTCAAAATCCTGTTCAAATCTTCCCCATAGTCCCCTTTGTGGGGCATGTGTTTTGTTACCTCCTTAAATTTGCCTTCTCATTAGACTATACCTTTGGAAATACATTATGTTGTATCTGTAATGTAAAGTATCAGTACTTTACATTAATCTCTGGTTATTTTTCCAATAGCATTTGTTGTTTCCTTAAACTTACAGAAATTCTTTACAGAGCAGAACAGCATCATGCATTGCATTGAATCTTCATCAGTATGTGCTTGCAGCTACATAGCTCTAGGAGTGTGCTAGAGCTTGTGCATCTCCCCTGGGGAAAGTCAATTACATCAATATGTTGAATGTCTCTTCTCAACTCAGTGTACAACGATGTCAGGCTGGTCGCTTGAACTTGGCCTTGTGGGCATATTTCTGTCATGGAAATTGTAACACTACAAATCAGGGCTTTGTTTTCCTCCATTTGTGGACTAGTTTACCAATACCATGTTTTACTACCCAAAGTATGGTCCATAGACTAGCAACATGGAATCACTTTAGAAATTTATTAAAATAGATTCCTGCATGTTACATATTTTTACATTTTGACAAGAACCTTGGGCTATTTGTCTGCATATTACAATGTAAGGATCGAGGAACCATGAAAATCACCTCTAACAATATTGAATTTGTTCATTTTGCAAAGATTTGTTCAGTAGCAGTTACATTGATTGAAATCCACAATGTGAAACTGTTTCAAACATCCAGGATGCTTGCCAAAGGGCTGAGATGTATTTGTCCTGTTTACATAGTTATTATAATACTGAATTTGTTTCTAAAAGTTTGAAATAAGACAATGTCCAATAGCTGGAATAAATTTGGATTTTTAATACTGAATTAGGAACATACCAAACTAATAAAATAACTAAAAGTATTTTCAGACATGAAAATATTTGACAAGGAGAATCTTCCCTTCTTCATGCAATCTTAATGGATGATGATACCTAACTTATTTACTAATCAAGGAAAATTTCAAGACAACAATTGTAGCCTCTTTCTTATAAATTGTAGCCTGTTTCTTCTCCATGGCAAGTAAAAACAAAAACCAAACCCTCACAAATTAAAAAAATATCCTGAGTGAAACTTATATGTAAGGCGAGAAGCACATATATTACTTGCAATATCAAATTTCAATCTACAGTAAAAGAAACTTCTGAAAAGGTTTATCAGTGTGTGAAAAATGCCCATATTACTGACAGCACACAAACTTTAGAATCTAATTGTTTGGCTTTTTGAATGATCTGCTAGCTATTTAGTTCGAATCCCATCTCTGACTTACTAGCTGTGTAATGCTATGGAAGTTTCTCTCTACCTCAATTCCTTATCTGTAAAATGGAAACAAAAATCTATTTCCTAACTCAATATATCTGGCATTTTACACAGTTTCTGGTGGTTCATACAACAGAACGTAGTGGTCATTTGTGGTTAAGTTTCCTGACTCAAAGGTCAGAATACTTTCTTTTAGTCTTGACCTTCATACCAAGGGTGTGACCTTGGACAATGCCCTCATCTGTGAGATGTGGTTGAAGTAAATTAATTGGTCTCTATACAATGTTTGGAAGAGACCCCATCCCTAAATAAATGTGTAAATGTTCTGTAAGTCTATTAAAATGAATTTTCTGTCAAACAAATCATCTTGGATCTGAGTAATTAAAAAGATGTTCATGTTTATATCTCTGTGGTGCCACATATTAACTGAAAAAGCACAGACTCCTAAATATCTTAAGTAAATATGTGAGATCATTATAGCCTCAAGCAGCGTGTCATGATGTTTCTTGGGAGAGGGGCTTGTAAAGTCACCGAGGACCAGGTCTCATTCCTGGGGATCCTCATGCACTTGACATAGACATTAGGAGTCAAAAAAATTCCCCAGGTGATTCTAATGTACAGCCTAGATTGAGAACAGCTGGTCCAGGGGTATGATTAAACAGATGTATAAACCAATTAAAAAACAAGCAGTGCAGTATTTTGGAAAACAAATTGACACATCCAAATTGAATGTTTAGATGTGTTCAAAAAGTTCCTGCAGTCATCTTTACTTTTAGGGTTTGCCTGTGAGCTGGGTAGGTCCTGAATCTTGGTGGTAGTGTGTCTACCTTAGGCTGATCACCGGGGCTGAGTTTGGGAGGGGATACTGGGATTCTACCTTTTAGAACCATCAAGGACTAATTTGACTAGAAAGTCAATTAGTCATTTACAGTGAACTTACCTCAAGAAGGACTACTATCCACTTGGGGAAAACAAGTTAACATCATAAAACTCTCAACAAACTCACAAAATCAGGAAGAGGCTCAGGAGTTGGAGGAGTATGTGACTGAAGCTACAGCTATACTTTCTTAAGGCTAGACCAATGGTTCTCAGATTTTACACTATCTGCCTTGGGCCACACTACAAACAAATTAAGCCAGAATCCCTGGTTTAAATTGCTTTTTTAAAAAGTTCCCAAATGGGGCTGGGGATTTAGCTCAGCGGCATAAGCGCCTGCCTTGCAAGCAGGCAGTCGTGAGTTCGATCCCTGGTACCGGTAAAAAGGAAAAAGACAAGACAAAACAAAACCAAACACACACACACACACACACACACACACACACACACAATGGACATAGTACATGACTTAAAACCAAAACACAAGGTGATCAACAATGGTTACCGTAATGTCTTTTGTTATCTTCAATAGAATTGCCCATATCGTCAGGCATAATAAAATTAAATATAGCCGTACAGAACAAAATCAATAAAAACAAAACATTGGAGACATGTTAGGACTTCAAAAGAAGATAATAGTCAAACCAGAATGAGTATCATAATGATTCTTATTGTCTTCAGATTAGTTGCCTATGCCCACAGACTTGATACTATCAAACATAACAGAATAAAATCATTTAAGACAAGATGGTGAGAGCAATACAGGGCTTCAAATTAAGCTAATAGGAAATAAAAAATGGTTACCATAGCGCATCCTGGTATCTTTGGAATAGCTGTCCATGCCATCAAATCTAGTACAAATAGACAAAGTAGAACAGAATATAACCAAACTAAACAGAATGATGAAAACAATATGGGCTTCAAATCATGATATAAAATTAACAGTGTCCTCTGCCTTCCCTGTTTAGACAGTTCCTCCCCTTTCACTTTCACGGGGTGCACTGTACATTTTGGGCCCACTAACTCCTTTAGTTTTTAGGTTAGGGAGGCAACCCGCTATTTACCTAGGTGATTCTGAACCTTTTTACCCCTGAGCATGACCTCAATTTGAATCCATTTACCTACAAGAGCCTCAAGGTTTCCCTTCCTTATGGCTGAGTAGTTCTCCATTGTCTAAAATGTCTTTCCAACCAATCTGCAGCTGAAGGGCAAGCAACTGCCACTTTGTTTCTGGTTTCCTGTCACAGAACATAAAAATATGGAGTGCTTTGCAAATTTGCTTTTCATCCTTGTGCAGGGGCCATGCTAATCTCTGTATCATTCCAATTGTAGCATATTTGCTGCTGAAGTGAGCACAAATTACTCAACTCTTATAAAAATATGTTAAGATGCTCTTATCCATTAGTATATACAAATTTGATACAGATTCTTAGAGATGATAGCATAATTCATTGCTAAATTCATATAAGCTATGTCAGCATGTTAAAAATATAATGTTCAAATTCTAAAAATTTATTACATTAAAACACACATTGCCATGAATCCCTGTCAAAATACTCCTCTTTATTCAAATACTTTGAAATTAAAAGAATACATCATTTTTGCCTCTTTATCAAGTGATTTTGGAAGTCATTCATGTCATTACTTGTGCGCTGAGGCTGCCTCAATGTCCTGAACTGACTCAAAACATTTATCTTTCACAGTCATTCTGACCTTGAGGAAGAGCCTGAATTCCTGTGGTGCTAGATGTGGTTAATAAAGTAGATGAGGACACATTAATGTTTTTGCAAGCCTGTCTTTCTGTTGATGGCAGTTGACAGCAGCGTTAAATATATTTTTTGTTGCATCTTGTAAAGGTACTCATGAAAGAGGACTTCCAGAACTGCTTCAGAAAGTGGCAGGAATGATAGGATACGTGTGTTTGAGGGGAAAGAAAGTATTTTAAAGAGGGATGAATGGCAATGTGTCTTTTACATAAAAATTTTCTTTTGATAGAGGGCCTAGCTGTGTACTTCGGGTTGGGCTTGAACTCACTATGTAGCCCAGGCTGGCCTCCAACTCATAGTAATCCTCCTGCCTCAGCCTCCCAAGTGCTAGGCTTACAGGTAACACAACAAATTTTTAAAATTTTAAAAAATATTCACTGAATATCTTGGTTATACCTCATACTTGCTAATAGATAACACTGAGGTGCATACCCTCCTTGTAAATCCAGTGCACCACCTAATATGGTAGCTCCTAGCCACATGTAGCTGTTTATATGTGAACTTAGATTCACTTCAGTTAAACAATATGAAAACTTTCAATTTCTCAGTCCCCCTACTCATAGTTAGCACTATGTGGGTAGTATGTGGGTAGAGGTTACTATACTGAAGAGTGTAGTTATAGCACATTTCTATCACTGCAGACAGTTCTATGGAAACATCAAACCAGTCCATTGTTTATGCTTCTTTTTTCTACTAACTGGGAATCTTATGTCACCAGCCGTGCCACCCATTTCCTAACCTCACCATCATCCATAGGCCCCGTTCACTCACTCTTCCTTCATAAAGCAACCTCTGGCTGCTCTCGTCCTCTACCTAAAGGGTCTCCCCTACCTTGTGGCGTTGTATTTTCCTTCATCTCTTCTCCTTTAAAGACCCTGCTCCGTATTCTCCCTCAGCTCCCACCCACAACCATAGTTACGCCTCGCTCTTACATCATCAATAGCCATCCACCCATCAAATCAACTTGAATGCCTCATTGTCAAGAGCCTTGTCTAGTATTTCAGCTTACTCTACCATTTCCTCCTTCATATACAACCCTTTTCATGATTCACAATAGTATTCATTCCTTGCATAAAATCTCAAGATTCTTTCCCTAGCTTCACATCGTATTAGTCACTTTGTAAAATCCTGTGCTGGAAAAACTATGTATTCTGGTCCTACATTCTCTAAGATGAATAATTAGAGATTAACTACTATCATTCTGATTAGCTTTTCATTAATAACTAATTAATTCATATATTTATGAGCCTTGTACTTGGTAGGTGAGTGCTCCACCACTGAGCCACGTCCTCAACACAGTCTCATTTTATCTCCGTCTCTTGTTGCTAGTCAACATTCCTTTTCTTTTTCCTTAAGCTCACCAGATCTCCTGCCTCATCCCCATTCTCTCAGCTTGTGGCCTCTGTCTCTTACATGATAAATTCAACCAGGAAAAGCTTTCATATTGACTCATTTTTAAAAAAATTTCCCTTGACCTTATTTCCCTTCTCCACGTGCAGCTTCCACCCATTTCTTTTTGCAGAAAAATATCTTGCAAGCAATTTTCTATACTAATTTCTTCCTTTCACCCATTCTACTCCTCCTAGTATCTGTCGAATCCTCTCAAAACTGGCTGTTGACCCTACTCCTTTACTAAAGTTGCTTCCAACAAGGTAACAGTGATTATTATGTTGCTAAGTCTAACCACTTAGCCAATCATCTGACTTGACTTGTCCACATTTTACAAGGTTTATCACTTGCTGCTTTTAAAAATATTGTTTTTCACTTGGGTCCTAGAATGCCTATTTCTTTTGGGTTTCTCTTTTATTTCCTGCCACTCAACTTAAGTGCCTTTGCTTGTTTTCTCTCATGTCTGTAATCTCTGAATGCTGTCATGTCTCGGGGATCATCAGTCTTTGCAATTGTTTTTAAACCTATATACATTAACCATGGTGATCTCATCCAGCCTCCCAATCTGAAATGAATCCATATACAATTGTATATATTTTATATTTTCAGAGTTGGAACTCTCAACCTATATCCAACTACCTTTTTAAGGTCCCTGCTTGGTTATCTAATACTCATTTCAAAACCAAGATCTTTCAAATTGAGGTCCTAATTTGTATCACCAAACTTCATCTTGTGGTTTTTCCTAATTCACTGCAGGATAACTCTGGGTAGTTTGTTTTTCCAATTGCTAATGTCAACAACTTTGTCCTAAATGTCTCTTTTTCTCTACCCAACATTCAATGTATCAGCAAATGTTTTACATTCGCCAAACTTTGGAGTCTGTATTCCCCCCACTGCCACTTCTATCATTACCAGTCTCAGTCTGTACTTCTGTACTTGTCTTTCTATGTTCTAGTCTCAAATGAACAGCTAGATTGATCATAGTAAAATGAAGGTTAAAAAACCCAAACGAGTGTTTTTCCTGTTCCAGATTTTCAACTCATTTTTCATTCTTGCTTTCATTCATTATGTAAGACTGAGTCCCTTATGATGATCTAAAATGCTCAGTAAAGTCTCTGATTTTATTTATTATTTACTTAGTATTCTACTCAAGTTTTCTGCTTCAGCTAGATTGGCCTCTTAATGATCTGGCTGTGGTGTTGTGTGTGTGTATGTGTGTGTGTGTGTGTGTGTGTGTGTGCACGCGTGTGTGTGTTAATACATTTGCCTTGTAAACCTCCTATCTCTGGGCCTGCTGTTTGTGCCTGAAATGGTTTTCTCTCAGTGACCTGCTGTTATGGTTTGTGTCTGAGTGTCCCCCCAAAGCCTCATGCAGTCATGGGGGTAGGCTTCTAAATTAGTTCATGTGGGCTTCTGCCACCATAAACTGTTGTCTTCTGCCATGTACCACTCTGCCTTGGAGCCAGCCTAGTATGGAGTGAAACTTCCATGAACTGTGAGCTAACTAAAGCTTTCCTTCCTTCATTTTGAGTGTCAAACATCGTGTCTCAGCAATGAGAGAAAAGTAACCAACACCTGCTAATCTCACTTCTTCCGTATCTGTACAGTGGGACCTTCGCTGACTACCTATGTTGAATGGCAAAGATCTCTCTACCTCCAGAGGCACTGTTCAGTTGTCTAACTCTCTCCTGAATAGTGTGTCTGTGTGTGTGTGTGTGTGTGTGTGTGTGTCTAGCCCAGCTTCCCACCTACCTTTCTATCCATCTATCTTTTGTCTGCAATTCCACATTGAAATAAGACAGTGTTTTATTTTATTTCTTGTTTTATTCATTTCTATATGTTTCTTGCCTATAGTTAAGTCCTTCATAGATCATAGGTGCTCCATGAGTATTTGTGTGAGAAATGAATGGTATTCATAGTAGATTAAACAATATATCTTTCTTTTTAAAAATATTTAAGTGTTTTATTTCTCTTAAAATTTAACTATTTTTAAGTATTTTTTGTTTAGCTAATAGAGGCCTTCAGGGTAAAAATAAGGGGAAGATGTATTAAAAGTAATCTGTGTACTCCATAAACAGAAACAACACAGGGAATAAATTTTATAATTTATAATTTTATAATTCTAAACAGAGCATTCTGTTTAGAAAAAAACAAGGAGAAAAATTCCCAAGTGCTAGAAAAGAAATTAGCAGAGTAGGGTTAAAGAAAACTAAAAGTCCAACCGCAAACCTGGACCAAATTAGAATAAAATGCACTGCATGGAAGTGCTTGCTCACAAGAAGGAGCTGAATACATATTCGCCAAGGTGGAGGACCTGAAGGAGACCACAGGTGGAAGGCTGGGAAGGTGAGGCGGGGCTGAATTAGCTGCAGTTGATGAATAGGAAGACTCACCCATGAATGACTGGAGTCTAGCCCACCCTGCTTGCATGGGTTCTACAGTTACACAATTTATGTGAATCTGGAGCCTCCAGGCTCAAATTTAAGATCAAATTTGGAGTCATGAAACACAGAAAGCTAGACTCTTGCCTTCAAACTTGACAGTAATTGCTTCTGGGAAAAAGGAGGTAGTGATAACAGAAAATTTTGACTTTATCTATATTTGTTAGGAAGAAAAAAAAGTAAATATGAGGAAATTGCTTATAATGTTTTAATTCTTGTGGAAACATGAATGTTTTTCTATTATTCTGTGTACTATTCTGTAATTATTTTCATATCACAATTATTTTATAGAGGAATTCCTTTTCTCTCTCTCTCTCCCTCTCTTTTTTTTTTTTTTTTTTTTTTTTTTTTTTGTACCAGGGATTGAACTCATGACCTAGTGCTTGCTAGGCAGGTGCTCATGCCACTGAGCTGATAAATCCCCAGCCCAAGAATTCTTTAAAGAAATGCTGATATCATGGCATTCCTAGATTTTCTGTAATTTTTTTAGTAGCTTAGATATGTTTGCTATATACTTTATAACATACCATCAAAAGTGATAAAAATATAGTAATATTTTTCAACATAATTTCCCCACTTCTTTTAAACTATAATGCATGCCTATCTATTAAAAAGTACTTTCTTGCAGTAAAAGTAAAGCAAAACAAACAAGCAAACAATAAAACATGAATTATCTCTTCTGTTTTCCTGATCATTTATGATACTATCAACTTTGATTGGACTCAAACACACAGAACATCACATTCAATTCATGTCATGT